GGGCTCGAACTCACGGACCGCGAGATCGTGACCTGGCTGAAGTCGGACGCTTAACCGACTGCGCCACCCAGGCGCCCCGAAGACATCATATTATAGAGCCCAAGTCCACCAACCAGGTGGTTCTAACCCCAAGATACGCTTCACTCAGGTCAACAGACAACAACGGAGAAAGCTGAGATACTGCACACAGAAAACATTGCCCTAAGATGAAGACACCACGGCACATCCGTGGGGGAAAGGAGGCACCGTCAGTAGTCGTCCTGAGAGTGTTGGTAAACTACTTGGGGGAGAGGGGAGCATGACCTTACGGCACCCCATTCCCAAAATAAATCCCAGATGGAAAAATAGACACGGTAAGCCAGTGGAGATGTAAGACACCCAAAGAGGCGTGGGCGGGTCAGGCGCACTGGGATGGCTTTCACAGCCTGACGGTGCTGGGCCAAGTGTATGGGACCGTGTTACCTCCTGCTGGAGACAGCGCCTCAGCCGCCCATCCCGGACCACTCTCTGGTAGGTGCATCGAGCTGGAAAGATGATCACATGTGTTGACTTGGTGATCTCACACTCTGAATCTGTCCCGGGGAAAGAGACACAGAGGTGGCACCATATTGGTCACCACAGTCCAAGATGACACAGCCCAAACGTCCAGTAATAGAAGTGACGAGAGGTCACTTCAAATTCTTGAAGTGTGATATATCCCCAGTATGGTGAAATTTGAAGATCCTCTTGCCAAAGACTGACCACATCGGAAATACTTGAGATGTAACATAAAGTGATAAAACAGGACACACACACACACACACGTGGGGCCATTCTACCGTCAACAAGTGTAAGGCTGGAAGGGAAGATTCCCGTGTGTTAATGGGGACGGTCCTTTGCTGCTTCACATTTTTCTGTGTTTTCCAAACGTTCTGCAATGAACATGTGTTATTTTTATCATCATAAAAAGAAACAAGCAGCATATTTTTTTTTTTATTTTTTTTTTCAACGTTTATTTATTTTTGGGACAGAGAGAGACAGAGCATGAACGGGGGAGGGGCAGAGAGAGAGGGAGACACAGAATCGGAAACAGGCTCCAGGCTCCGAGCCATCAGCCCAGAGCCTGACGCGGGGCTCGAACTCACGGACCGCGAGATCGTGACCTGGCTGAAGTCGGACGCTTAACCGACTGCGCCACCCAGGCGCCCCTGACAAGCAGCATATTTTTAAGAACTGCACCGCTCAAGAGCAATCTGTTGATAAAGATCTGTTTTGAGCTCCTGGTATCGGGTTTCCCAAACCGACCTGTCATGTGAGGTGCTGAGTCTCCTCTCCGCGAGTCCCTGTAAGGCCTCCGTTCTTGGCACAGCACAGTGCTGTGCCCAAGGGGAGGCAGCTCCCTGTGACGGGGGGGCCTGTCATCGGAATACCCTGTCCTCATTTCCTCTAGCTCGGCTGGGTGCACGTTAACCCTTCGTGTTCTGGCTGCAAGCACGAGGGCAGACTGACCCCTCTGTTCCCCGTCCAGTGGCCTCCCCAGGGTGGTCCTGGATAGGTGAGAGCCAGAGACGTCCATGAGTACCCGCCTTCCCCCTGCAACCACTTGAGGCTGACGCTGAAGGCTGGGGGGAAATCCTGGGACTATCTGAAGCAGGAGCAGAGGCAGACGGAGCTGGGGTGGGCTGGACTGGGCTGGGCTGGGCTGGGCTGGGCTGGGGAGGGAAGCGTGGAATCAGGAAGCAGGAGTGAGCAGAGTAGGGAGCACCTTGCGGACCGGTGATTAGCTAGTCAATCATGGCAGTAATGTGTGTAACAACTGAGTTCTCGACTAGTCTGCACGCATCGTGAGAGCAGGGACCGGGGTCCCCAGCTCACAACCTTCTCCCCAGCAGCTGTGCTGGCAGCACAGGTGTCATCCATCCAGGAATCAAGCTGTCACGATCCCCTGATACCCTTGAGAAGTTGCCCGACTTTGCCAGGAGCGAGGGCTGTCCCACCGGGAGCCACCTGGGCCTCTCTGCCCCGTAACAGCAGCAAGGCAGTCCCAGGGAGGTAGCAGGAGGCCTCTGGCGAACTTGGCCCTCCCCTGACCCTGCACATCCCGCACACTGCACAATGGTGGCTGAAGGAAGGAGGGGTGACAGGCGGACCCTCACCTGGCCACCCCAGGCCGCGGGCTGCTCTCCCTGCACCTGCGGGTCCTTGGCTGGGAAGTTCTGCTTTGACCACTGGCATGAGAGATGTCCAGAGACCCCGTCTCAGTGGCCCAGGTCCCGGGCCCAGCGGAGAAGCAGACTTGAGGGATTCCCCGGGGACCATCGTGAACAGAGCCGCAGGGGAGGCTGCAAGCCGCCGCTGTATTTTTAGATGACCCCATTTCTTAGCCATCTTTGGCTCTCACAACTCATGATGACACCGGGGCTGCCCCAAGGCCAAAGCCGTGATATGACCTGGAGCCTCTGGATCCAGCGTCCCTGTCACCAGCCTGGCGGAGCACTCAGGAATGCCTCCTTACCTCTCCGGGCACCACTTTAATCACCAAAGACTTCCCTACCACCACCCTGGACCCCGAGTTCTGAAAGCCTTTGCTCACGAGCCTGCGTGATATTTACTGTCCCCCGCTGGGAGGTGGACAGAGGCCACTGGGGTGCCTGTCAACGACCATTGGAGAAGCCAGTACCTCCCAGGCCCTCCTGCCTCCCAGGCCCTCCTGCCACCCAGGCCCTGAGCTGGGGCCCCCATGTGCCCCTGAGTCCCTCACACAGGCTCCACTGTCCCCCTAGAATGCTTCCTGCTACGTGTCCTGGCCCCCGGGGCCCGGGGGACCTCAGCCTTCCTGACGTGGCCAGTGTGGGCTTTCAGAGCAGACGGCCTGGGAGAAGCGCGATCTCTCCCCCCCACCGGCCTCTCCCTCCCTCCCCTCCCCCTCCCAGTGCAGACAGCAGCTAAAAATACCCCTCTGTCTGTCCCCACGTGGTGCCCAGCCCAGCCCAGCCCAGCCCAGCCCAGCCCAGCAGGCCCTCCGTGCCTGTCGCTAGCTGGGAAGTCCTATTCTCCGTCCTGAGTTCTTAGAGGTCCGGGGGCCGACTGAGAGGTACGATCCAAGGGGCCCTGGAGGGTGGGCACCCCGGGAACAGGAGGTGGGAGGTACAGCAGGAAGGCAGCAGGGGAGGGTGGGCTATGGTGACATAGTCCGCTCGGTGCAGAGATCACAGGGTCGGAGAGAGACCCCCCAACCTGGTCAAGCTGGGCCCCTTGGGTTGTGGTGAAGTCTCAGCTGTCACACTCCCCTCCGTGTCCTGGCCGGAGAGGTGGGCAACAGGGAGGCCGGGTGACACCCTCCAACGGCAGCCAGGACCCCCGTGTCTAGTCACTGGCCGCAACTGGCTTGAGGCCCTTTGCTGTCCTGTCCGCTCAGCCCTCCTCACTCCTGGCCTGGACGGGCACCAGGCTGAGGCTCTGAGACTCTCCAGAAGCTCCCACCCGTGTGTACTGAGACCACAGGGTCACAGGCGTCAGCAGACCCAACGAAAGCCCCACGAGAAGGTGGCCCCTGCGGCGGTAGCAGCTGGCCACAGGGGACACAGTAATGATGGGAATGTGAGGCCTGGGGACAGTGGCTGCGGGCTCATCGCCTGTCCTCACTGGGCTGGAGAGCCTCCCTGGAAGGGGGTCAGGCAGGACGGGTGCTGGGCGGGGCCCCTGACCTGTCCTGTCCAGGCTTGAGCCCAGCCTGGTCCCCTAGGTGGGCTTCCCGGGCACTGCCCTGCTCTGTTGGGGCACTGGTGTGGGGAGGGGAAGGGCACTGGGCTCCCACCATGGCCACGGCCACGGCCACAGCACCAGAGCTCGGTAGGGCCCCCGCCCCTTGGCACCCACAGTTCATGCTTCTCTTTCCCGGAGTTCGTTATTTTGATCACACATCGAAGCAAACATTTGGTCCGCAGAGACGTCTAGTCTGTCTCCTTCCATTTATGGCTCTGGAAGGCGCCCCCTGGTGGACAGACCATTTCCCATTCCCAGGGGTGCCGCTATTTTTGGTTGTAGGTAGTGCTGGGCAAGATTTGGGGCAGCTTTCTCGGGGTGAAATGTTAGAGGTACATAAATGAATATACGCACATAATTAAATAAGCCCAGAAGTGGATTTGCCGAATCAGATGATATAAACACCGATTCGACATCGCTCTCCGGAATGTTCCCCTCAGTCGTGTTTGTCTTTACCGACCTACACCCCAGGACCTGTAACCTGGGGGTTCAGCGCATGGGCTGAGCCTGACTCCCCCACTCCTAGCTGTGTGACCTGGGGCAAGTGACTTGCGTCTCCCCACCTTTACCCGGATCCTAATAGCACGGACCTCACAGGGTTGCCGTGCGGCCTGGCCATGGGGAGCATTGTGTCAGGGTGCACACGGAGTCCCTCTCCCCCCCAGACTCTGGATCTTCACTCCAGAGAACAGGGACCAAGGTCGCCCAGCAAGGTCACGGCAGGCCGAGACTCCACTTACCTATGGACAGTGAGGATCAGTGGGGCAGGGGAGCTCTCGAGTACTCTCATCACCATCCCAGCAATGTCCGATTTGGGAGGAGAGGAAGCCACTTGGACGTGGGGGGGCCACAGGGATCCCATCCCCATGCTCCAGGGGTGGGGGGGAGGCATCTGTTCCGTGCAGCCCAGAGCTGTGGAGGGGTCAAGGCGTGGCTCTCTTGCTGGCCTCGTCCCGCCCTGATTGCCTGGCCACTGTTAGGTCTCGGGCCCTCTCTGAGCCTCAACCTTCTCGCCGCAGAATGGGACTAACACAGAGCCCTGCTTCGCAGGGCTACGGGGCTGGATCAGGCGAGACGCCGGGCCAGGCGCTCGGCACACCTCTGACGCTCAGTGTTTGTTGAAGACAGAAAGGACTGACGGTCGGCCGGCCGGCCAGTCGGGTGGGCGAGCAGGCGGACGGACCGCGCCCTGCCCCGGCTGACCCTGCCCTCTTCTCTCCCCAGGGTCTCGGGGGGGTGGGGCCCGGCTCTTCTTCCCCCGTGAGTGGGTGGCACTGGCAGCCATGGTGCGGAACGTGGACGACCTGGACTTCCACGTGCCCTCGCACGCCCAGGACATGCTGGACGGCCTGCAGCGGCTGCGCTCCCAGCCCAAGCTAGCCGACCTCATGCTGCTGGTGGGTGGCCGGGAGCTGCCCTGCCACCGCGCCCTCCTGGCGCTGAGCAGCCCCTACTTCCACGCCATGTTCGCGGGCAACTTCGCCGAGAGTTTCTCGGCTCGAGTGGAGCTGCGGGACCTGGAGCCCGCCGTGGTGGGGCAGCTGGTGGACTTCGTGTACACGGGCCGGCTGACCGTCACGCAGGGCAACGTGGAGGCGCTGACGCGCGCGGCCGCCCGCCTGCACTTCCCCGCCGTGCAGAAGGTCTGCGGCCGCTACCTGCAGCACCAGCTGGACGCCACCAACTGCCTGGGCATCTGCGAGTTTGGGGAGCAGCAGGGGCTGCCGGGCGTGGCCGCCAAGGCCCGGGCCTTCCTGCGGGAGAACTTCGAGGCCGTGGCCCGGGAGGACGAGTTCCTGCAGCTGCCCCGGGACCGGCTGGCCACCTGCCTGGCCGGCGAGCTGCTGCAGGTGCAGCCGGACCAGAGCCGGCTGGAGGCCCTGCTGCGCTGGGCGCGTCACGACCCTCAGGCCCGGGCCGTCCACCTGCCCGAGCTGCTCAGCCTGGTGCGCCTGGACGCCGTGCCCAGGCCGCGCGTGCAGCACCTGCTGGCCACGGAGCCGCTGATCCGGGGCTCGGAGGAGTGTCGGGTGGCCCTGTCGCAGGGTCACGACGAGGCGAGTAAGGGGCAAGGAGGGGAGCCCCGGAGACCCCGCCTGGGAGGGGATGCTGGGGACAGGGGCCTGAACCTCGCAACTCTGCCTGCCTTGGGCTGATTACCTGTGAGCGCACCTCTGTTCGGTGCCCCGTGCCCCTGTGTGCCCCCCCGCCCCCGGACGTGAGGGGAAGGGGAACCCAGGTCTTGTGATCTTTCACAACCCCGGTCGGCACCCACAGCTTGCGACAAGCCTGGAAAGGGACCTGAGGCAGCATGGGGAAGGCCAAAGCTGGGCTGGTGGCATCCTGGGAGGGGTGGCCGGTCAGGGAGGGCTCTCCGGAGGAGGCAGCGTCTTAGCTGGGCCTTAGAGGAGGGATAGGAGTTGGGGAGGAGGGAAAACAAGCCGGGAAGACCGCACAGCTTGGGCACAGCAGCGGGCCCCCTCCTGCCCCTTAGAAAGCTCTCGAGCATTCGTGGCGTCCAGGCAGTGAGCGTGGCAGGCAGGGCAGTTCCTGACAAAGCTTCAGACCAGGGTAGGACTGCGACAGAGAGCCGATGAGCCCGTCTGCGGCTGGCAGCCCGCTCGGGGCCCGGCTCTGGAGGACTCCTCGGGAGCCAAGTCTGGGGACAAAGATGTGGCTCAGGCCAGGGTCAGGGTGTGGGGTGCTACCCTCAGGCACCCCCGGGGCACAGCGGGCCAGCCCGGGGCCCCGCCCCACTAGGCGGTCGCCTTGTAGCTGCTGGCAGTGGGCAGTCTGGGCCTTCTGTGGAAGGGGCCCGAGAGGCAGGAGGGCCCGGGAGCTCCGGGCAGTGGCTTCTTACCAACCAGGATGGAACCATTCCAGCGTCTCCCGCCGGGCCAGGGTCATCCCGGTTCGGCACGCAGCACGCCCGCCCAGGGGAGGGTCTGGGGACAGAGTCGGGTTTGGCTGCAAAGATGGGTGCAGGGACGCCTCTGGAAGGCACGTGGGGACTTCTGGAAAGGAGGGGCTCCCAGGTCTGGGGCGCACATGCACCTGCTGGCCCGCGTCTCTCCCAGTCCTGAGCGCTTGCCTTCAGCCCTGGGCCGTGGCAACCACGTGCGTGTGCACATGTGCTCGCACACGCACGCACGCACGCACGCACACACACACACGCACTGAGACGCACATCACCCCACACAGGTGCCCTGACACGGCTGCCCCACCAAAGTCCTGCCTCCGAAGAGGCCACTGAGGCCCGAAAGCACCTGGGGGCCCCTTGCACGGGGAATACGGTCACCTGCTTCTCTAACCCAGCCTTCCCGGCCCCACAGGCGCTGCCGGGCCTCCCGCAGAAGCTGCAGGAGGTTCTGGTGGTTGTGGGCGGGCGGGCACTGGAGGATGAGGAGGGGGCCGAGGAAGCCACCCCTCACGGCAGGAACTTCGCCTTCTACAACACCAAGGCCAGTGAGTACCCCCCACGCTGTCCCTGCGGCCGACGTCAGCCATTCGTGTCCACCTTGCAGGTGGAGGGAGCGAGGTGCACAGGGGCCCGCCGAGTCCACCTCCTGCTGTGCCGGGGCCTCGCGGGGCGGGGGGTGGGGGGCTGCAGGAGAGTCTAGAGGCCGTGGTGGGGGCAGGGGAGGCTGACAGTGGGGGCACCGGGGCCCCCTAACCCTCCGGCCCCAGCCCCCAGCTTTGGTCTTTTGGGCCCCGGAGCCCAAGGTAGAAGCTTCTGCCGCGTGGGAGGATGGCCCCTGGCCTGCGCGCCCAATGGAACCCCAGCCCCAGGGGGAGGGCGGGCGGCCGGGGTGCAGGTGGCCTGGAGGGTGAGAGCCCAGGGGCAAGGGCAGCTCACACAGGTTCTAATTCCAGCCTTAGGGTGGGTCACCTCACCTCATCTGTGAAATGGGCTCCTCACGTGGTTGGGCAGCGGACCCAGAGGGCAGGGACTTGGCCCCTCCTGCCCGGGGCCCCATCACCGGCGGGGTCTCTGCAGGGGCCACGTTGGCCCTGGGAAGCTCTTCCAAGAGCTCCGACGAGGGTTGGCTGGTGTCCTGGGGCCGCTGGGCCAGTCGCCAGCCACCGACGGCCATCAGTAGCTGGCAGGCTGGAGGCAGTGTGAGGCCGGCTGGCCCAGGTCAGGGGCTGACGAGAGGGGATTTGGGGGCTGACGTCAGGAGATGAGCTTTGCTGGCTCTGCCCGGGGGCAGCTGTCCCTCCAACGCCAAGGGAGGACGGCGGGGGGCACGCTGGCAGGCAGAGGCCTGGTGACTGCTGGGCAGAGTCCCCACCCCAGGGTGACACACACATGAGTCAGGGGGACACGCAGTCCCTGCCCAGAGGGCAGGCGCCCGGCAAGGCCCAGAATTCTGCGTGTCTTCCCAGGGGACGTCGCCGAGGCCTGGGTCTCCCTCAGAGCCTTCCACAAGCACCCAGAATGTGTCCGTTTGGACATTCCCACACTATCTCATTTTTATCTTTCCAAAGCATTTTCTCATCTCTTGCCTCAGTTTACCTCCTGTAGCTCCTTGAAGGTGGGTCCAACGTGGGTGCAATTACTCTGTCCCTCAGTCATGGTGACGGTAATCCTAACAGGTACCACGTGTGCCCTGTGACAGATACACGTGGTCAAAGATAGTCCCCGGGAGGTGGGAATCACCCCTAGGCTACCGAGGAGGAGACGGAGGCTGTGGGTCACCCGAGGCCACACAGCCCGTGCACAAGAGCTAGGGTCTGGACTCACACTGCCTGCTGCAAGGCCCGAGTCTGATCCCCTACGCCCTTGCGTAGAGACCCCCTAGTGACCGGAGATCGGGCGCTTTGACCCGTCACCCCATCTGACTGAGGAGGGACCCAACCCAGGGGCCAAATTGTCCATTTGGGGTCAGTGAGGCCACCTGCAGGGTCAGGGCAAGACCCAGCTTCTGGAGCCTGAGCCACCTCCCGCAGTCCTGTGTCCAGTCGGGGTGCCGGGCGGGTTCCAGGGGGCGGGGTGGGGAGGAGGGGGCCGCCGAGAGCCAGGCCTGGCAGGGG